TTGACAAAGCCCTGGCTGGGTTGATTTAGTTGGGATTGGTCCTGCCTTGGGCAGGGGCTGGACTTGACCTCCTGAGGTCTCTTCCAGCTCTGATTCTCTACTGCCTGCCCACCCCGTGCTCCCCAGCGCTTTATGGTGCGGAGCGAGCACCATCCTCTTTGCAGCTCAAGCATCAACACGAGCTTCCCCGTCCCATCCCCTTCCTCCAGACCAGCTCCCCAAGTGGCTGAGGGGAAAAGCCAGGGGCCGGCGCACGAGCTCCCCTTCCCTTGCGCCCAGCTGCAGCTGCCCTCTGCTGGGGGAGAGGCCTGGACGCCGGCGGAAGCCTGAGGCGGAGTTTCCGTAGCGATGCTGCTTAGGTCTGAGGGCGTTCGGCAGCCGGGGGCTGACTGGGAGGGCACAGGAAAGACTCCTCCAGGCTGCGGCGTGGCGAAGCTCTTCTCCACTCTACCCCGTGTTTTTTTCCGCGAGATCTGCCTGTGCTCCAGCTGTGGCGGCGGAAGCATGTTGGGGGCCGGTGCTTGAATGTGCGGGTGGTGACCCAATGCCCCAGCAAGGGGCTGCAGCACCCCAAGCGTTGCCCTCGGCCAGAGGAGGGCTGATTGGCTAATATTTCTGGCCCAGCTCAGTGTCTGTCTCTCCACTTCCCCAGGCCTGGCCTGGTCGTTTACCGCTGCAGAATCGGATGGCGACCCCCAGGCAGCACAGGTGTGAATGCCAACCAATGGCACAAGGAGGGGAGACTCCGATCCTGTTCACCCCCATCATGCCCGACCCACCACATCCAGGTCAGGTTCTATCCTGCCCAGAGACAGTTCCACCCGCCCGCTCGGTGGGAGATGAGGTTTTTCACTTCCTGTCCTAAACTCTTGAGGCACGTTACCGCTGCCTCGTTCCATCCTGGCGGTGGCTGAGTTTCGTTGATGTAGGTGCCTCTATGCAGGGTGCAGCGTGTTTGGGGACGAAAGGCAGCACGTCTCGTCGTCCCATTCCAAAAGGTGGCACATCTCCAGTACTGTGTTGTTGTGCACGCATTTTCTCCTACTTACTGATCCCCACGGACAGCTGAGCGGCGGGGACTAAACCGAGGAAGCTTTAGCTCCAGGAGCATGAGTGTCTGTCATGGGAGTTAAAGAAGAAAGCATCTTGGGACAAGGGCCGCAGCAAAGTCGCTCTCTTCTGTACGTTATCCAGCCCTGATAGCAGGGGCAGGCAAAATATGCCCAGCAGGATGGATTTGGCCTGCCAGCATCCCAGAAACCTCAGGCAGGCTCCCTACCGGCCGTGCCCCATATGCTGCTCAAAGTGGGCGGCTGTGAGAGCCATGTGCTTGCTACGCATCCTTGGGGGCGGGGTGTGCACTGCCCCCACCCCAGCACAATGTCTCAGCTCCCATTGGCCAGAAACCGGCCAATGAGAGCTACCTGGGCCCTAGAGGGCCCCCCCATCAAAGATTTACTGCCCACCTCTGCCCTATGGGGTGACAGAGCTCCACCTCCCTGTACCAGGACGCGTCACCGCTTCTTACGCATTGCGCTGGGTTTTAGATCATTTTGATGCATCGTAGGTGCCGCTGTTCCTGGCGTTTGCCTCAGCAGCGTCCTGCCGTTACACCCCGTTACTGAACGAAATGAAAACCGTCTCTCCTGGCTCGTTCTGGCCTCTGGCCAACGTGCCTTTTACAGTCTCCCTCCCACTGCTGCTTCCAGCGCAGGTGTTTTACAGCCCTGGCAATTTAGTGGGACGCTTCATTTTTACAACCTTTTAAATGCGGCCGCCTCTGGAGTCGTGAGCGCCGGAGCCTCGAAGAGGCAGCAGCGGTCAGGCAGTTCCCACGGGGTCTAAGACAAGCACATCCAACCCATTGCTTTCCCCGGGGGGGTCACGCTTGGAGTCCGTTCTTGGCCTCGTGGTTGAGACCATCGGCGTTAAGGTCAGCCAGGTAATGGCCCAAATTGGGACATTTGGCCGAAAGCACGAAGGCAGCCAGTGAAAGGCCTGGAGCATCCAAGCTGGGAATTTTCTGTTGGGTGTTTAATCCCGTTAGGCGCTAGCCTTAAAGCCAGCTCGGAGTACAGAGCCCAAATCTCCCAAGCCCACTGCTACACAGAGGTGGAAAAGCCACCCTGGGTGTGGAGAAGAGGCCCAGGAGTTTGCAGGGGGTTACGGTACCGCTTTCATGCAGCTGTTTTGTGGTGACAGGCAGGTGGGAAGACAAGGCCTGGGAAAGCGGGGGTCCCTCCCTACCTCAGGGCTAAGTCGTCCGAGTGCTCCCGAAAGCTCATTTTCTCTCTGGATGAAGGGGAGACCAAGCAGACTAGGGGCCTCTGTCATGGTTCCAGGCACCGAGACATTGGCCTGGAGTAACGCTTGCCCCTTGTGGTGGCTGCTCTAATCGCCACCCTCAAAGATTTCTGCCCGGCAAGGCCGTTGTGAAGAGCTGGGGCTGAAGAATTACTGAGGTCCAGCTGCATTTTGTTTCTGCTGAAAGGGAATTGACCTTGACAATGGCCTCCAGGGCCCAGTCCTGGAGCCGTAAGCGCTGCGCGCTGAGCTCCACCGGCCCTGCCGAAGGCAGCTCCTAGGGCAGAGACTTCGGCGCAGGACTCTGAGGCGGGTCCAGAATGGGGTGGAGATAGGGCAGCGCTCAGGGCAACGCAGTCGCAAGGTTGCTCCATCCCTCGACAAACCACAGGCTCAATCCGGGGGAGGTGCCAAAACCGTATTTATTAGCAAAGTGGACACGAAAGCTCCAGAGAAAGAAACGCTCGCAGCCTCGCTGCTCTCACTGGGAGCTCCGCAGTGCGAGAGCAGGCAGCGGACTAGCTCTACAGCGTCTAACCCCGTGGCAAGGCGGCAGTGCTGGGTTCCCACAGGGGAGCTCCGGGATCCCTCGAGGGGGTGGAGCGGGGGCAGAAGGATGTACCTATGGAGCCCCTATGAAAAGGGATGCTCTCCAGGTGAGGGCTGGAAACATGTCAGGGGGCTGGGGCTGCTTTTCTGCTTGCCATGAGTGTGCTGTGAGTTTTGTGCTTTCCGCCCCTGCCAAGTAAAAGTCGAGTCGGTCTGGGAAGCTAACGGGGCTTTGCAAGAGCTGGATGCGGCCTGGAGCGAAGAGCCTCGAGCCTGGACTTGCTCTAGGGGCTGCGGCCCAGGGACCGGCGGTGAGAGCGATAGAGAGGTGGAAAACTCCACCTTCACTTCTTACTGCCAGCCAGGGTGACTCCTCTCTTCTGCCCGCCCCTGGACTCCCCACCTCCTGCTCCTTCATCCTCCCACGCGCCAATGCCATTGACTCCTCTCCTCCCCCAGCTCACACCTCCGGGACGAACAGACCCGATACAGGCGCGCACAAAGGCCCAGGTGTGCCGGGTGTGATAGACACCGATGTGGTGGCCTCACAGCCCTGCATCCTCTCTCCTCTTGCAGTCAAGGTCCGTTTTGGTGGCACCAATAAGGGGAGGAAGGCGTGGCGAGGAAGAGGAGGCTGGCTGGCTCCACGGTGGCCATCCAAAAGATCTGGTTTGGGTGCACTCTATAATGTGCAATTTGAATCTACTCTACGTAAGCCTTTGGAGAACACTGATCTCTGAACCCCTCCGCTCTGGACTCGCCTCCCCCAGGGCAGAAGACAACTACAAAATGTACCCCTGAGCCGATAACATTGCCCTCCGCCTCTCACTGAAATCAACGAGACCAGTTCTCAGTCGCGGTTCCTCTTGGCTTGGTTCCGTGCTCGCGCGTCTCTAACTGCCGGGAAGCACTGGGTCGGAGAGGTGTCTCTGAATGTCCAGGTGCTCGGAAGATGCTTCGAGATGCTCAGGGAGGGAAGGGAAGCGAAAGCCCCGGTAGAGTCCCCGGGTGTTTGTCACCCTCTGGTGAGGCTCTGGGGTGGGGAGGTTCTGGGAACGGGGCTCCAGCTGGGAGTAGATTGTCACGGTTTTTTCCGAGGCTGCCGTCGGGTGTACCCCACTCGGCAAGGAGTCCCTGGATTTCAGCTGGAACTTTTCGATCTCTGCATAGCTTGGGCTCTGGCGGAGACGGGGAAGAAAAGGAGGAGTAAGGGCGTGTTAGTGGGACCAGCCAGGTTTTTGTGGTGAAGGGCCCAGAGAGAGAGAAACCCACTGAGTAGGCGGCACCAGCCGTTTCTTGCCTGTTCCTGGGGTTCACCTCGGAGCAGAAGAGCCCTGCCTCATTACTGGGGAACCCCTTCTGGCTGGTGGGCACTAGGTCCCCTCCAGACACTCCCACTGCTCAAATCCTGCTGCCCTAGTGATGGGGTAAAGTCCATGGGGGAGCCATGTCTCGGCGGGGCCCCCGGGCCTGGTCTGCGCTAGAGACTCAAGTTTCTTGAGCAGGGTAGTTGAGCCAACCTGAGTGCCGGGGGGGAGGGAGCCGCGCTCGCTACTGCTGACATGGCTGCCGCTCGCAGGGACGACGATCGCCCACACTGACGGGAGACTCTCTCCCATGGCGATGGGCCAGCAGCGCTCCCGCTGGGGGACCCTACAGACCCCATGTTACTGCTTGGCTTAGACTCGAAGCAGCCGAAGCCGAGCTCCACCCCCTGGGGCCAAACCCTGCCCTGGGCCCACCTGGGCTCAGATCACAGGCCCTCTGGGTGGTGGGGCTCAGGCTTTGGTTTCAGCCCCCCTGCCTGGGGCAGCAAGGCTGGGGCGGGCTCAGGCTTCGGCCTCCCCTCCTAGGGTCGTGCAGAAGGGAGCGCAGGGCAAGGATGCCCAAGAAGCCTCCACTGAAGCCCTGCAGTGGTGCCATTCTCCAGTGTGGACAAGGCCATGTGGCATCAGCTCCCCCGGCGATGGGGGGCCAGGCTAGGACGGGTCAGCTGATCCATGCTCTTGGACAGGCACCGCCACACTTTTCCTCCAGCACCCCAAAAGAATGGCTTGGGAGACTGGGTGTTCTCTGCCCAGGCCTCTGCTGGGCTTCATCCCCACGTTTCGAGACGGCCCTGGGTTTGTCCAGGCTAAGGACGTTCAATACAGGCACTTCCGCATTCCTCCTTTGAAATGTACAAGAGCCACCACTGGGGCTCTTGTAGATTCCAAAGGAGGAAGGCGGAACACTGCAGCCCGGGCCGGTGGGACGTCCCGCTGACTCCAGGCTGCAGGTGGGTGCATGTTTTGAAATGTACAAGACTCCCCATTGGGGGCTCTTGCGCATTTCAAAGCCTCAGCGCAGCATGGAGCCCGGGGTCAGCGGGGGACTGACTGGGTGCAGCGCTGCCCCTTTGCAGTACCCCTTTCCCCCCCTTTCCTGCCTCTATCTGATAGAGGCATTAAGGGGGGGAATCGACTAGTCCTTAACATCCTAAGTCCAGGCCCGCACTGCCAAAGAGAGGAGCAAGGGGCCCACACCGACCCCCCCCTGCAGAGAGAGGCTCCAGGGAAAGTGGGAACCAATGTTCCCTCTAATCTTTCCATCCATGTGTGGAATGCATTTTTTACATGCACCGAGGCATGGGTGAATGTGCACCACCCCCAGCAACAAAAAACCTAGCCGTGGGCACTCTGCTCATCAGCGGGGCATCCTTTGGATTTCTCAACACTGGGAGAGGGGGACATCTCCTGGCTTTCTCCATCTCCCACCCTGGTGGGGGGAGTTGCCCTCCCTCCTGGCCAGACCCTTCCCCACACAGTGAGGGGAAGGGTGAAGGGAGCAGCCCCTGTCCTGGACTCTCAGCCCGGACCTCTCTGCCCCCAGAAGGAAGACGCAGCCTCAGAGAGCCGAGACTCCGTCCTTCGTCCCAGGCTCTCTCATGCAGCGACCTCCTGGGGCACCCCGGCCTGCTTCTCTGCAGGAGGAAGCTGCTGAGACAGCCCCATCTCCCGCAAAGTCCTCTCAGCCCCCGCCTCGAGACTGGGAAACGCTGGGACTGGAGCTGCCAGGTGGCTGGAAGCAGAGGGACATGATCTCAGTCCCCGGGGTCCGCGATTTACCTGCCCGGGAGGGGTCAGGTCCTCCTCTTGCAGCAGGGAGCACGGCGGAGCAGGCTCCATGCCCCGGGGGCCCAGGCTGTACATGGCCAGGCTGTGGGAGGAGGGCGAGATGGGGCTGTACGCTGGCGGCACCTGGGACAGCTGGCGCTGCAGGAGCTGCAGGATTATAGTAATGTCCGAGGACATCCTGGACTCCAGCCTGTGGACAGATCAGCCAGCGTTAGCACGACACGTCCCGGGAACACGAAGCATTGAGACCCCAGCCAGACCAAGCTGTGCGGCCGCTGAGGGTGGCGCAGGAGCCAGCAAACTCAGGGAATGGCCGGAGCGCGGGGGAAGGGGTTCAGCAAAGCACCATCGCTGGCCGTTGGATTGTCCAGGGTCACTGCAGCTCCTCCCAGCTCAGGCTGGTGAGGGTAGGAGCAGACAGCCGGCTCCATCAACCAAGAGAAGCTGCTGCTGTCACCCCAGCCGCCCTGGCAGAACCATCCCAGGAGAAAAAGCTTTTCCCCAAGCAGCCGGGCCAAGTCGTTCTCTTCTAAGGCAGGAGCCTGGTTTGTCGTGTGCGTGGGCCACGGGAACACCCTGCGTTAGGCTCCAGCGTTAACCAAGAGTCTCGGAAGGGAGAGAAACTCAGATCTGGGATCCCGCAGGGCAGACGAGCTGGCTAGTGAAGGTTTTCTCCCATGGCCCTTGGAGGCGGTGGCTGCTGGCCACTGCCAGAGCCAGGACTCCGGGCTCGGTGGGTCTTCGGGCTGATTGGCTCCAGCCTGGCAATTCCCACCTCTGTGGATTTACACCCTTGTATGACCAGCAATTAGAGGCAAGTCGAGCTGCACTCAGGCCCCATGGTGCAGCCCCACAGTCAAAGACAGCACCTGCCCCCAATCAGCACAGACTGAGGGGAAGGTGGGAGGGGAAACAGAGGCAGGTGAAGGATCTGGGGACAGAACCCAGCTGTCCTGGTGCTGCCGCAAGATCCGAGTCCTAACCAAGAAACCGACCTCCCAGGAGTCCTGGGGAAGGCTGGCTGTGGATTTGACCCTGAGCTTCGGGGCTGGCCCTGTCTCCATATGGGCCTGGCAGGGCGGAGCTCTGGGCCCCCTCGCTGGATGCGATTGGATGAGAATGTTTGTCCCTATCCCAACCCAAGGGGAATTTTATGTAGAGAAGTGAACTGCAACCTTAACAGCGCCCCTTGCTCACGGCCACTAGGGGGCGCACCATGCCTGGCCAGCACAGCACCGGTAGTAATGAAGCCAGTGGGAAAAAGGCTGCAACCCTTAAGTGAGACACCTACATCTGCACGGACGCGCCTCGAGCGAAGCCGCCTGAGTCCTAGAGCAGCCCCAACGCCCGCGGCACTGAACGGGGTGCAGGGAGCCTCTGGCAATCGCGTCCGCA